GAATTAGAGAACAATAGACCAACACTATGTCGGCTGGTGACACGCCACAACGTTTAAGTTGCCGCAATGCATACAATCTACGGTTGGCTTTTTTCAGTACGTAGTCCACGTGTGCATTCCATGATAAGTCATCTGACACATACACGCCTAAAGCTTGAACGACTTAACGCGCTCGATGACATAGCCCCCGGTGGCAATGGACTGAGACACGTAGCTGTTGTACTGCAAAAAGTCAACCGACATTTCCTTACATTTMGACGGATTAAGGCACATGTTATTCGCTACAGCAAACGATTGGATATCTGATACAAGTGATTGTAAAATGGAAGGCGAGTTCCTAGGGATAATTTCTACAATTGATAGATSGTCAACGAATTTTSCTCTAGGGCCCCAGGTAGGCAATAAATCGTTGGTCATTACTGCGAAGAGTATTGGCCCGKGCTTAGTTCCCTGGGGGATACCGCCATTCAATGTCATAGGTTCCGAGGTAAACYTTGATATCCTTACAGACTGAGTTCTGCCTTGAAGGAAGGACGCGATCCAGCGAATTAAGGAAGGATGCAAGCCAAACTGATTGAGTTTTCCGATCAGTATTTGATGGTCTATCATATCGAATCCTTTCTTGAAATCTGCAAAAAAGAACCTCGCCCAACAGTTCCCCCGATCGAGACCCTCGAGAGCCAGATGTAACAGYAAGAKAAGAGCWTGCTCGGTCGATTTCCCTGCGACTGCAAATTGTTTGTTATCTAGGCAGTCCAGTATGTTGGGGAGAGCTCTACTCAGGGTAAACCCTTCCATCAACTTAGCCACCTGGCATGTCAGGGAAATCGGACGAATGTCGCTTTCAATAGTTTTCGGAGGCTTCTGCTTAGGGAGGGGGCATACCGTAGCGCGCTTGAGTAGAGGTGGAATGTAACCTTCCCGCAGAGACGAGTTATACAAGTCTGAAATTACGGCAGAAAGTTCAAACGCGAAGGTCTTCAAAACAATATTTGGTATGCCGTCAGGTCCGACTGCCTTTCTGACATGAATGGAGCGCAATGACTTGTACGCSTCACGGGGCGTGACAAGGAGATCGTCAGGAATTTCGTTTACTTCGATATTTGCAACATCAAGAGGTGACAATGGTATGAATGCGGAAGTGAGGCCAGCAAAAAATTGATTGATCCTGTGACAAAGTGATTCGATATTAGTAATAGCTTCACCGTCAATTAACTGCCGATACCATTCACCCTCACTTCCAGACACCCCAGAGAGGTTCTTCACTTCCTTCCACCAGCGCCCAATGTTGGTATTTTTAAGGTTTTTCACCTTGGTTGTGTAAAAGACGTGCTTGGCGCTGGAGATTGCATCACTGACTTTATCCCGCCAAAGTTTGAATAGAGGCGAGTCCTTCCRGTGTCTAGCAAGAGCACCTTGCCGCTTGGCGATCCATCCTTTTATTTTTGTTGTTATCCAGGGCTTGTCATTGGTGTGTACCCGCACTGATGAGGATGGTAAAAATCTGTCGAGGGCATCTACAATTGTTTCTCTGAAGATCGCAAACTTTTGTGAACAAGAAGAAGCTTCCAACAAGTCCTGCCACGAGTACGACTTCTCTGATCTTCCAACATAATTAAACTCGAACGTTACACATTTTCGTTTTTGGTGATATAAAAGTTTACAAATGGATTAATATTGATTATTAAATAACTAGACGCTCCTGGGAGACACGAGTGAAAAGATTATGATGTTATATTCTCTCGAATCATATGATTATATTATGAATGTAAATCAATGATGTAGAATATATGTTTTTTACTTCTAATATATAGTAAAAGCAAGAATGTATTACTTTCACTTTAATGTACTGTTCAAAACCGTTTATTCACACGATACGATATTCTTTTTGACTGCTCTCTGCAACGACTTCAAAACGATAGAAATCTAAATTTGACCTAAAAGGTCATGTAATTAATACCCTGCGAACAACTTACAACTGAACTGATAAAATCAAACACGTCAGACTTGAAATGTCGCTAAGTGAGATATCTAATACGTTTTTAATTGAAATTGTTGACCTCTTATGCCAAAAATTAATTTAAATATTTCTTTAAAAAAATATGCCTATAAAATAATCAAAGTCGCCTTTTTGTTATTGATAAACAAAGTTTCTTCTTGTTCTCTTTGAAACTATTTGCCCAAACAAGACTGTCTAGCGTAAGCATACTACTCGTACTTCTGATYRCTAGACCGATGCATTCCGATGAGATCACAGATACCACATTTGAAAATGAATAGTTTTTTTATCACATAAAAGCGCAAGTAGAATCTAACATTTACTAATGATATTCGTACATCTATACGGTTGAGCTTCCGGTCATGTGATAACACAGGCAACCCAAAACGCGACAAAATACATAGATAGATAGGCTAAAAGGTAAAACTTTTAAGTTTTAATTACCATAATTAAAAGTTCGGCTAGTCCGACTAATAAAGAAATTCACAAAGTCACGCAAAAGAGTATATATTTTTTTAATTATTAGCGAATGTAACATCTTGAGAAAGGTTAAGTTTCATGCTATATCGTGTGGCTACTGTGACGTCATTTCATTAGTCTCGTACGCACTGCCTGATGGGAATCTTGTGACCAATGATYGGTATGGTAATTTGTGTTGTAATTTTGCAYACGAGACCATCTTGACATCCGCACTTATGAACGTTCTGAGGAAATAAGGGAAATGAAAGACTGATAACATTTGAACGGTAGAGAAAGAAGAACGATTGAAGAAGGATTTAGAAAAGGAAACAAGGAAAAAAGGAACGAATGGAAGGGATTAACAGGAATAATGGGAATGGATGTTTATTCTTACCCCTAAGTAGCAYGTCATTCCTTCGCTAAGCTTTTTGGCACAGAATTTTCCAAATAAACAGCATCTGTTGTCTCCACAGTCTGATTCCTTGGAGCACCGCTAAAAACAAGAAAAATAAACGCTGTTTTAGTGCAAACTAGAATCTAATTGCCATCTAATATTTTTATACTTACATCAATCAAGAATCTTTTTTGTCTGGATTCTTTGGACATTGCTTGCATGTCTTCGTCTTCGAGTCTTTCTACTTCCAGAGAACGACCTGATTCCATGCACTGTTTAAGCTTGATTGTTTGTCCCAAAATGGTGAATTCCTTGGTTACTCGACACTCAAGTCCATCACGACATCCACAATTGGTAATTCCCTGAAGAAACGTTACAAACTTTGTGTTAAATCTCATTAAATGGAAAGAGCTCGCATAAGAAAGAGAAAATAAAAAACTGAGAAATAAAGAAGCCAAAACCTAATACCACTAACTGAAGGTACCATAGTTATGGAGGTTAAAATTTAAACTTAATTAAAACTACAAAAAAGAGACAACCATACTAACACTTACAGCAGTATAACACGTCGCATATTTGAAGAGCAGTTTAGGTGAGCAGTATTTCCCCATTAGACAACACTTGTTTGGGCCGCACTCGCTCTCATGAGAGCAACGCTAAAAACGACAAAGAAAAGTTTAAAAAACTAGCACCTGCAAGTTAAACATTGAAGAAATTCGCTCAGAATCTCTTTAGTTACCTGTAGAATACTTCCAACAACACTGCTTATACCGCTAAGGAGAAACCGACGTTTTCTCGTCAATTCATTGTCAGCCATAACAGCAACAGCAGCAAAGCAAAGCACAATCAAGAATGTCTTCATCTTGGAACTGGTAATAGATCAAATCACTATGGATAGACTAAAAAAGTGACTTTTGGCTCTTTGAATGTGATCTTTTATACTACTTCAGCAACACTTTGATTTACGACATTTCAAAGAGTGTGCAGCAGGGTAAACAAACGTATTAATGATACCTTGACTTTGGAGTTGAAAACTTTTCATTTTCAAGTTGGATTCATAAGGACATTTGATCAGCTGTATTGTTGTCTTAAAATTGATTCTTATATCAAAATGTTATTAGTTTTACTTGTTGAAATTCTTTGAAGTTTTACGGCAATAGTAAAATAGAAACCTTTCACAACTACAGACAATTATTCACAGGTATCTATAATTGCACGCTCAGCAGTTGTCTCGCTTCGATGACAAGGCATGGCTACCTTTCAAGATGGCGCAGGGAACCGTGAAGGAGACTATTGATGTTCATAAACAGCCCTTCAGTGCTCATTGCGGGGCAGGATTGGAAAGTATGCAAAGTTCGCCTAAGATGTAATAGTCAGACACAACTTTTTAAGGCGCATTTTTCAAAAGTTAACCTGGTGACGTAGTAATGTCCAAAAAAGGACGTACAAATTTGTCAGGTGACTTCATTGTCAAATTAATTAAAAGATCAACCGGTTTTGCAACATTTACTAAAATAGGAATAACTTGTGGGGCAGTAAAGGGATGTATGGTGCTCTATACTCAGACAAGTAGATCAACCAATACRGTGTCTTCGCACAAGATTTCAGCCCAAAGACTTCACGAATTGTTTGACTAGTAAACAACGAATCGTAAGTTACAAAAAGAATAAAATCAAATAAAGGTAATCTGTTCTAATAGAGATTGTATAGTACCTACTCGACATGTATGAAAGCTATTATATTAGAGTACTTTGAGTAGTAAGGTGAATACACAGCACATGATGTTGTAACTGCATGATTTACATCTTAAGGTATGATTGAATATTTGAAAGGATACTCGAACTTTCTACGTTGCTTTCCTAAATATTGTCTTTGATTTTCTTTTTCTATCTTTTCTTCTTCTTAGTTCGTGTTCCCAGTTTTCTTTCTTTCTATTTTCTCAGAAACCGTTTTCAACACTTTTCTTTCTTTCTTTCTCGCTATCTCTTTCCAAAGCCTTTATTTTAATTTTCTGCTGCCCCTGACGAAACGGAGGATACATGAATCTTCCATTGTACAACATATCTGCCAATATACGAAATTATACATTTATAATTTCCATTTAATCAAAAAACTTGCAAATTGGGAATGAAAGGCGCCGTTGTAAAATGTTTTACTCCCGAGAAATAAAAAAGTTGGTTTATGAAATCGGTTACGGTTTATCCCAGAAAAAAAACAACATCAAACTTAAAATCTTTAGTCCAAAAAGATTCCCAGATAAGAGAAAAATTACGTAGCTCCCCCAACAAAACAAGACAATATAATGCTTTAAAGTTTAATAATCGTTATCTCTGACTATAGCTAGCGGTTCATTGAGTACAATCTGACTAGGCCTTAGGCACGCACTGCCTGATGGGTATTTTTGAACCAATGATTGGGATGACAATGTTGGTGGTGACGCGGCACTCAAGACCGTCAGCACAGCCACACTTGTGTTTGTTCTATAAATGAATGAATGGAAAAAATTATTGAACTAATCTTAGACTTGCCAAAATACTCTCTTTGACTACACAAAAAATAAAGGAAAGTTCGATTATCGAGTAAAAGTTGAAGTGCCAGGGGACTAAAAGGGACTTATATTGTTTTGGAAGTTTAAACTGTCTCCTTTAGGCTTTAGCGGCTTTCTGCGAGCAATTTCAATATAAATAATTACAAAAAAGAGAAAATAAGACAGATATGAAGTATATAGTAAATGCTAGTGAATTTCTCAGGTACAGTTAAAAGAGGAGGGAGATAATAAGGAGGATAGCGTGCTATACCGTCAGGTAGCAGGTCATGTCTTTAGGGATCTTGTAAGAACAGATCTTGTTAAATAAACAGCATCGTCCAGCACCACAGTCCGCCTCACTGGAACATGTCTGATCAAAGAAAATTTAATTAACTGGTTGTGTAATTTAGTAGAAAGAGAAGAGATCGTCAATACATGTATCAGTACTTTCGGAGAACAATGCGTCCGCCATCTTGAAAAGTTGGACACTTTCCGAATCACTAAACTCCTAAAGGATTTTAAAACTTCTCAGCTAATTTCAAGTTATTATTATACGATATAATGATAGGTTAGTTGACTTAGCAACTACGAAATGTGTTCTAAGGAACAACAAAGTGTTTCTGGTCTCACTTTTCAAGATGGCGGACGCATTGTTCTCCAAAACTCCTTAGGTATGCATGTATAGTCGCAAGTATTCATATGACTAAGGTGCTACTTTGGGATTCCTGTGGAATCCATGCTTTAAAGAAAAGGGCGGGAAAGATGCGCGAGCGCGTAACTCACACGTACGTCAATAAGGAATCTTTTCGCTCTGCTGCTTTGATCCATGATCTCCTTCATCTCCTGATCTTCAATCTTCTCAACMACAGGACTGGATCCTTTCTCCATGCATTGTTTAAGCCTGATTGTTTGTCCCAAAATGGTGAATTCCTTTGTGACACGACARTCGAGTCCATCAGCGCATCCACATTTGGTAAGTCCCTGAAGAAGCGTTTGTAACGGCATTTAGGAAAATAAAAAATGAAAAAGAAAGAAGCCATAGTTATGGAC